CCCCTCTTCAAGTTTGTGTATTTACTCTACCTTGCTAACTGTCTCTATTTTAATGCAAATAACATGTGATCTGACCAACCTTTCTACATGAGACTGGATAAAGGCTGAAACAAACTGGCATCAGAACAAGAGCATGCTCCAAACACTTTTCATTATCTTCCCCTGCAACATCAGACCTTTTGGCAGGGATATCTGGATAAGTCATATCTAAATCTTTTATTTAGAAAAACCTATTGAACAACCAGATATCATACGCAGGGGCGCAACTACATATTTTTGAGGTGTATGCGAAAACACATGATCGACGCCCCCCCACCCCCCGTACAGTAACCAAAAGAACACAATGAGAGATGGTCATCCCAAATTCAAACCATTATGGTATATATGTTTATGCTGCCTCCCTAATGTATTTATTTCTACCTGATGTCCTCACTTGTCTCTTCTATCACCGACCTCATGTTTGTCTCCTTCAACCCTTGTCTGTAGCGTTCTCCACTAAGTCATATGGTCAAAAAGCATTATAAATTAGTTGTAAAAATTACAGATCTTAATACAGTTTTTAAAAATAATGTTTAAACATTATCGATTGGGATTAAGTAGCTGTTCCCTCACTTCCACCTAATATTAGATCAACCTGTTGCTTTCCCCTGTCTGTCCTGATTCTTCCTTTGTCATCTTCTCTTCTTTCTCTCCATCCTCACAGCTGAATTAAATTAATTTTATGTTAAGTAGGGTTAAAAAATACAGCAGTCAAACCACAATAAAAATTAATCTTTATATTTGAATGATCTTCTTGTTGGATAAGTTACTGACTGGACACTGCATCTTATCTGACTTATCAGATATTTCACAACACCACTGTAGTGATACTGAATAAAACATTTAAACTCAAGTGTCCCCCTGCCAAAAAGGTTGGTAACATGGGTCACCGAGTCTAAGGGCTATAATAACACTGGATTAATGTGTCTGATACACACATAAACTTGTACAACTCATCTTTAATTATCTCCCTTTTTCTTTTTCTGTTTTGCGCCCCGGATAGTTTTTTTTTTTCTGGCGCTCCCTCTTGCTGGTAAGTGCGCACTACAAATGATAGTCGAAAAAAAAAAAAAAAAAAAAAAGAAAAAGAAAAACACGCCTGAGTGCGTCTCTTAGGGGCGCGTGCGCAAGCCACCTGTGTGGGAAAGGAGAGCGACAGGAGGAGAGGTGAAGGGGGCGCATAATCAGTGGGCGTGCATCAGAGGGGCGCATAATCAGTGCTGTCTTTCTGTTATTGATCGTTTTATGCTGTTAAATATAGAAAATTACAACTAGAAAAATTGATTTTCTAGAGGGGTTTTTTGACGCCCCCTCAAGTGCAGCGCCCCTATGCGTTGCATGCGCTGCATACCCGGTTTTTGCGCCACTGATCATACGGGTCCTAGTTTCAGAGCCTATTTATATTGTCCATTCACCAACAGACTCATTTATATTGCAAAGCTCACTATGTGAAAGAAACTTAGAGAATAGTTGTATTTTGTCTTCTCTCACCTTTTCACGTCATTCAACATTTCATCCTAGAGGATGACAACAGTATGATTTCAGTATTAGAATAACATTTATTACACCCAAGGAAAAGCACTACATATAAAGCTATAATTGTCCCATTTATAATTGTCTCAAGGTGATTCCTTCTTGCATTTGTGACAGTTATACTTTGTGCAGTACATACAACACTCAGTGCTGTGGTTCCTGTTGCAGAGATTGCACACATGGCCTGCTTATAATAACAATGAAAAAATCTAAAAACAATAAGACTTAAGCACATATTCCGAAAGTAAGGGTTGTAGTATGAACTAGATGAGGTTATCTATATGTGTTCTGTTTCATCTTTTAATAATGTTTTATTTTAGGAAAAGTTTGAATATTTCCACTTAGTTAATCTTGTTGCTTTATGGTGCCATCTAGTGGACAAGTCAGGTAGATACGGTTGTGTACTTTTTAATTTGAAGAGACCGTTTTCCATGGGAAGTGACGTTTTTAGCAGCGCGGCAGACAGATGATGGCAGGGAACATGTCGGCCGTCTTTAGACCGCATTTGCCTTTCATTTTTGAGGTTGGATCGCTGGTATGTGCACAAATGTATTTATGTTTGTTCAATACTTGTGTTATTTTGTAGTGACTAGAAATGAGTTAAGCAACCGTAGATTTTGATTTGTATCAAGTTAATGCTAGCGAACCAGACGGTCGGCAATATGGCGTCTCTGTTGATTACTGTTTTATCTTTAATGTTGTTCTATAATTTAGATTATACACAGTGCAGTTCAAGCATTTTATGGACATATGCATTATGTAAATGCATTGTATTTTTTTGTCTCCATTTTTGTCCTTTTCTAATTTTACCCTTTTTAGTGTCATTAAACCTGCTTAGACACATCACCGTCTGCAGAGTCATTGATGCAAGAAAGGTGTGAACATAACAGCACAATGTGTGCTACAAGTTTTGTGGCACTACAATGATCTATAGTGTAATTATCATATGCTTATGATAACAAAGAAAATATCTCCAAAAATACAGTCTAGCCTATCTTCCCAAAGTAAGAAAAAAAGGATTCCTTGGAACTGTAAATATACAGTCAGCTCTATTGCTGCAGTAACCTGGGAGATTGAAGATCTCGTCAAACAGGCCCAACAGACTGAACCTGATCCTGGAACCGGGCCACCTAACAGAATCTATGTACCTTCCTCCATCCGAGCTTGTGTAATCATTTGGATTCATTCTTATAAGTTTTCTGCCCATCCAGGGATCGGTCGAACGGTAGCCCACATCAGTCGGCGCTTTTGGTGGCCCTCCTTGCTAAAGGATGTAAAGGAGTTTGTTTTGGCCTGCCGACCTGTGCTCGCAACAAACCCTCTCATCAACCTCCTTCCGGACTGCTTCAACCATTACCCATCCCCAAGCAACCCTAGTCTCACATCGCCATCGACTTCATCACAGGTCTCCCCACCTCAAAAGGTATGACAACCATCCTTACCATCATTGATTGTTTTTCCAAGGCCTATCATCTAGTCTCTCTGAGAAAACTCCCCACAGCTCTGCAAAAAGCCCAGCTTCTCATTAAACATGTTTTTTGGCTTCATGGAATACCTCTGGACATCCTGTCTGACCGCGGCCCGCAGTTCATCTCCCAGGTATGGAGAAGTTTTTGCTCGGCACTTGGGGCCAAGGTCTCTCTCACTTCCGGTTACCACCCTCAATCCAATGGACAAGTAGAGCATATGAATCAAGAGTTGGAAGCCAGCCTCAGATGCATCACAGAATGAGTAACTTAAGCTACATTCAGTAACCACTAACTGGAGTCAACTCCTTTCATGGGTCGAGTATGCACATAAATCCAGTGTCTCCGTCGCCACAGGTCTATCTCCATTTGAGGCATCCGTTGGTTACCAGCCACCCCTTTTCCCGTCTGAAGAGGCAGAAATTGCTGTACCCTCCGTCCAGCAACACATCCGCCGCTGCCGGACCTTCTGGAACTGGGCCAGGACGGCCCTGGAAAGGACCTCCCAGCAGAATCAGAGGTGGGCAAATCGCAGGAGGAGGGTTTCCTCATCCTATCGCACGGGCCAGAAGGTCCGGCTCTCCACCCGTGACACCCCCCTCATCAAGGTGATGTCAAGCAAACTCTCACCCAAATTCATCGGACCCTACGAAGTGGAGAAAACAATCTGAGACTGCAGTCCGTCTCCGTCTTCCATCCTCCCTTCGTATTCACCCTAAATACCACGTCTCCCAGGTCAAGCCAGTCTCGTCTAGTCCTTTGTGCCCACCCACTGAGTCCCCTCCCCCTTTGGACATTGATGGCCACCCCGCCTACACAGTTCGACGCATCATTGATGCTTGTCCACGTGGGCGAGGGTGGCAATATTTGGTCGATTGGGAGGGTTACGGTCCCGAGGATTGCTCTAGGGTCCCAGGATCGTACATCCTAGACCCCTCCCTCATTAGGGACTTCCGCCTCTCTCAGCCCTCTGGTTCCTCTGGACCGCCGGGTGGTGGTCCTTGGGGGGTAGTGTCAGGACTCCTGTCTGTGTGTTTGTGTTTCTGTGTTTGTCTCCCTTCCTCCTCCAGGAGGCGCCTGGTTCTGGTCCGCCACCTCACACACCTGCTGTTGGTTTCCTCGTTAACTGCTCACTGCCACTACTTCGAGGCCAGAGTGTTTGCATTATCTCTTAAATTAAACCTGTTAAACCTTTTCTCCTGGTCTCCCTGTTTGGTCCTCAGCATTTGGGTCTGAACTTTAGTAAAATCGTGACACTTCTCTGATCTTCACCTGAGAATCAGAATCTGATAGACAAACTGAACAGCTATATATATATATATATATATATATATATATATATATATATATATATATATATATATATATATATATACATAGTGATATAATATACATTGCAATATTATGCTTTGCATTGCTTGTTTAATTCACTTTAATAAAAATCAAATTCACATTTCAGTTAGATGAAAACAATGATTCTGTTATGTAACTTGTTTTTTCTAAATTTTCCATAGGTGTGAGAGTGTGTTGTTTTGGTTGTATAGTTCTATGTGTCTCTGTGTTGCCCTGTGAAAGACTGCCGGCCTGTCCAGAGTGTACCCCCACCTCTCGCCCTTTGACAGCAGGAGACAGGCAGCAGCCCTCCTCCCGACCCCAATTAGGACAAGCGTGTCAGATAATGGATGGATGGATGGATAATGAAAATAAGACATTCATATATTTTTTAGGTTAGGTTAAAGGATTTACACATCTTTTTAGGTAAAATTATATGAGTCTTACAGGAATTCCTGACTTCTTTTAATGCAAGTAACACTACTACAATTATGCAGTACATATCAAAATAATTTGATTCACAGGCATGTTTTAATAATATTTTCTGTGTGCACTCTGACTAAAGAAATATACATTAGAAAAGAAAATAGCCTCATTGACTTTTTATATGTTAGTAGCTCAGGAACTCACCTGTTGGGGAAGTGAGTCGGCACTTGCACAACCTCTCCAATAGCATCAGGGTTAGATCGAGCCATAGTGCAGATGTCTAGACTTGTGTAACACTCCTCTTGAACCTTTAAAATAAGGGGATAATGTTGCTGAAGAACACCAAAGTGAATGAAGTTATAAGGTCTAATACAAATCTACAACTAAGACTTACCCTTATTTAGCATAAGCTGTCATACTTCACCATTACATCATTCCAAATTTTAACCAGCAGATAATAACATGGTAAGTCTTGAGATAAAGTTGTTGCTTTAAGAGCCCTTCTGGCCTCTGCATGGTGATAAACATCACATGCAACCATTAAACAATCAAATGTAAAAATTTAGGGCAAATATATTTTTAGACTGTGTCCAATGTTAAAAATCTGGGGTTACTTCTAACCTGTTTAAATAGACTTGCAAAGGTAGAAAACTAAAGGCACCAATCGGTTCCATCTTCTCTGCCATTCAAAAGACCAAAATAATTGTGACATAGTCAAACTGCTGAAGAATTATTTTCTTGGTTTAGTAAAAAGGTCAGCAGTGATCATGGGTCAAACCTTAATATTCTGTGACTTACATACATATAATAGCATTTGTTAGGCTACTCTAAGGTGCCGGCTAAAATTAAATTAAATTGGTAACTCAAATTTCACCAAGCATGGACAGGGAGGGAAATACCTCTAAGAAATTATTCATAGAGTAGTAGAGGATTTGACGGATATTACATGACTGACAGTCAGAGATGGGAAGTAACGAAGTACAAACACTTCGTTACTGTACTCAAGTAGATTTTTCTGATATTTTTACTTTATTTTACTACTAATTTTTATGGCGACTTTTTACTTTTACTCCTTACATTTTTAGACACATACTGTATCTGTACTTTCTACTCCTTACAGTTTAAAAAATTGGCTCGTTACTTTAGTTTTGAATCATTTCAATGGAGTTACCGTTATTATTTTTCACGTCATCAATACCAAATTCAATCTAATTGGATGGGAATCTACGTTTCATTTGACGCACCCCTACAAGATGAAACGACAGATTCGGCGGTATTCATTCGCGGCGAACCATTG